GTTGAGGCAGGGATGGCATGACGAGACGGAGCGTTTTGGAATACAATTTCTTTAAGCAGATGTTGAATAGCTACCATAAATGGTATGCCTTGCAGCTTATGAGTGTTGAGATAAAGATCACCTTCTGACGCGCTGTGAGATGATGTTTCACTTCATTGTCTCACTTCCCAATGCATCCATAACAGGATTGCCATAGTCGGAGAGTGAACTTTTAATCAATGCTTAACACTAACCTGGGCCTAGCATGTTTAACCACATGCCGAGTGAGGCGAAAACTGTACATTAGGGTAGCTACGTTCTCCTTGTATAGTGCATGCACGAGCTTGATGAGGGATTTCTAATATGATTCCTTCGTCGCTAGAATTTGATCCTCCCCGAGATTTTCCCTACGGGTAGCTCCTTGTAAAGGGGGGTGTTGAAATTCACCTCATCCCCATGGACCCCGTAGCGTTGACTCTCAAGGTAGAGCAAAAGGTAGCGCTTACCGGGCTAGCAGGGTTAGCTAGGTAGTTAGTACTATTAGAGCTGATCCTGTAAAATACAAGATTCTCTATAGATCTCTGCAGATAATCATTTTTAGATTTAAACAACTATATAGAAACCTTGTATGTTAAAAGCTTTATTCTAGATTTCTGCGGGTAAGAGCTTGCATTTTCAAAGTTTTCCTCTGGATCTTTGGGAAAGTAGATATCCCATATATGTGTGTGTTCATGAAATGAAAGCTCGTGAACGAATACAAATTATTTATATATTGCATGTTTAAATTGACATGATCATTTCCAGAGATCCAGAGGAAAGCTTTTGAAATGAAAGCTTTTATATATTTTTATTGTAGAAATGATCATCCACAGAGATCTAGAGGGAAGCTCTTGAATTAGAAGCTTGTACATAAAACAAGTTTAATCTATCTATATTATTTCCAGTGATTACTGTAAATAAACAAAATCCAACTATTTACTTCAAAAAAGAGTTGTAGTCTTGTTCCTAGCACTCCCAGGGCAAAAAAATACTGTAAAACAAGGGGTTTCGTAGCATGTGTTGTCTTAAACTAAATAGACTAGAGCTAGAATAGAATTATATAGGTAGAATTAAATTGGATTTGAGTTAGAGCTAAGATCTGAATTAAAACCTAAGTTCAACTAAACTTGTATTGAACTATAACTATAACCTATTTAAAATTCGATGAGAGTTGAATTAGAAAGGAATTGGAATTAAAATTAGAAGTTCGCCAGAATAAGATGTAAAATACAAAGCCGAAGCAACAGCAACAAGCATTGAATTAGAACTACAGTACAGCTTACATAGATTCATAACAATTTACAGTAATGTAAATTGGAAGGTATCATTACAGTTTCATGTCAAGCTGATTGGACATGCAATTGGCAACCACATTGATACCAATCAGAAGTTAATGCACAGACTTGTACATGGAGATTTCGACAAGGACAAAGGGAGTGGTGAGCTCAGACGCTTTCATTGTAAGAGCAAAGAACATATGCCTTTAGGTGAGACTTAAGCTCACATACTTGAAGGTTGAACGAAATAGTAAGAACACAGATTGACCTCAATAGGAAAACCAAAAAACAAAAAACCTTGAGAAAACCAATAACAACCTAGGAAAAGTCACAAAACCTTGGGAAAACAAAAAACAAAAAAAGCAAAGAAACCAAAACAAATTAAAAAACAATCTTCAGAGAGTCTTGGCTCGGAACCCACCCCCTCCAGAGAGTCTGAAAATATTGTTTTTTTTGTTTTTTTTTTCGTTTTTTGTGTTTTAATGTTTTTGGCACCCCCTAGATCCAAATATTGCCTTGCCTTGCCTGCTGCCACAAAGAATATTCAGAAAATCTTGGCTGGGAACCCACCCCCTCCAGAGAGTCTGAACATATAACTTTTCTTGTTTTTTTTCAATGTTTTTGGTACCACTCTAGATCCAAATATTGCTTTGCCTTGCCTGCTGCCACCCTGGGAGTGCAGTTTCTGTAATAAAATCTAGGCCTAAGAACAAATGAAAAATAACAAAAAACTGCACTCTCAGGGCCTGCCGTTCTGAAAAAAAAAACTACTCAAGTTGCCGTCACAATCTTTTCAGGTGGAAGGCTAAAGGGACGGGTGTTTGGCATGGGAAATCCCATAACATCAGATGTGTATGCTCATTTAGTTGATTAACAACAGAACATTCAGTGTGTTCTTTTTTTTAAAATATATTTGTGCAAAGCTTGAATAACGCTTGATCTAAACTTTGCAATCCTGACGAGACGTGAGAGGATCGCAAGGTCTGAAACTACATCCAATCAGAGTCTAGTGATTCGATGACATTTTGTCTCTATAGCTCTTGGGAGCATTGCATGTGCTACAGGCTGATTCTGAGTTCATTACGACTTGTACCATGCAAACTATATATATATGCAAACATCAAAAGACGATGCACCGGATCAGTCAACGCACGCTCCCGGCCTTCTCCAGTTGATCCATGACTGACCGACAGACAATCAACAGATATCAACAGTATGTATAAAAATGATTTTTTTTTTTTGAGTTGTTTTGTTCGTACCTGCTTCACTGCTTCACCACGTTTGACCGAGGCCGGAGCTGCGCCGTGTGGCCGCGAGGTGACTTCGAAATTTCCTAAGAGAGCCGGAAAATTGAGACAGGTGCAGGGTTCCATGCGGGTTCACTCATGTATGGTCCACTTTTTGTTTCAGGAACGCAAGTCCAGTTGCCCCTGAGAACTGATGGCTTGAGAACAACGAGGAAACATCCCTTCTTCACAACTGGCCAGCATGTGAGGTGGAGCAAGTTCTGCGAGCCATTGAGTCCGGGAACCTGGGAGACTCCGCACGATGCAAAAGGCGACTCCGCGTGATCGAGGCACCACACACCATCACGATCGACTGTCGGAGGATGTGCCTCATGAGATCTCATGATATGTGCTATCACATGCTATCACTAATATCACCTTCCATGGTCGAATCGATAATTGCCTATATAGACGATTGGGATAAAGGATCCAGATAGATCTTCTCATTCTCATGGATTTGGCCAGCACCCGTTGTTCCCAGGCAAGGGCAAGACGTGGCCCCGGCGCTGCTTGCCGTGTTGTCTGAGGTCACAGTCTTTTGCTCAGCAAATTGAAATTGGTGCAGCAGCCTGGGACTCTCATCCAGTGAAAGCCGCTTTGCTCTTGACTGAAAGATATACACTCTCAAAGCCCGTTCCTGGTAAAGGAACATACAGGAACAAGGATCTTCCAAACCTTCCAGTGGTTTCTATGTTGATTGTTTTGAACGTGCATCCGCACAGACCGTTGATGGGTCGCTTATCATTCGTCACTAAGCGGTGCTCCCAGGCCCACAAGGGAGCAGCTGCCTTTGCCAAAGCTTGCCGGGAGGCGGGATCAACCATCTTGCGCACAGTGTGGTGACGGGGAGAGATGAACTGATCGAACTCACCCTGACAAGACTTATATAGTTGAAGCAGAAAGTTTGAGACAGAAAACATGACACCAAAATGTCGCGATTGTGACAACAGGATATAGGTTAATGTTGACTCTTGACATAGGATTAAATATCCTCCCCTACTGCATCAGTTAAGCCCAGCTCGAGCCCCAATACTAAACTAATTAAAACCTGAATTGCACATGTCCATCACCCTAATAGAGTTTTTCCTTGGCAGAAACCACCCCCTATTGATCAAGCCCAGCTGCCCCAGAAAAGTAAAAAATACTATGTTGCTTTCTTTTTGGCTAGTATCCAATATTTTCTGGTCCACTCATCCTCATTTTCTCCTCCTTCTGCTTCTCATCCTGCTTTTTCTTCTCATCATTCCCTGTAAAGGCAGTTATTTCATGTTCCCTTACTAAGACTCTATCAAAATCTTACGGCGTTCAAGCTCACAAAGGGTACCCCTCACACAGGCCCTACCAGTCCCTCCCCCTATTAGTCAAGCCCACCCTTTGGTCTCCATCTTGTTTTCCATCTCTTTCATCCTGCAATCCTCTTTCTTTTCCTAATCATCCCAATCATCCCAATCCCAATCTTTTCTAATCTTATCATCTCATCATCCATCATCAGGTCATCACCTCCATGAAGGGGATGTGGTCTCCAATACCTCCAATATCAAACCTCGTTCACCTTGAAGGGGGGAGGTTGATTAATCCTACGTCGACATTATATGAGTCGCTTCTTTGGGCCTCGCCTGAAAACTGTCCTGACCTGAACAATGACTTTTTTTGCGGGGTCGAGGTACACCTTTACCCGCTTCTTGTTTAAATGCAAATTTAACAAGCCGATGTCAAAAAACATCCACATGTTTCAGTTTCTTGATTTTTATGCGGCAAGGTCCATGTCTAACATAATTACTGTAGTTGCTTCAACAAATTTAATGGCTTCTTGTATACCGGATACCGAGAGATCAAATTATGTAAGCTAAAGTCTGTTTCCTCAAATCTTTCGGCTGGAGTGAGCCATCAACGTGTTTCAGTCACCGTCCGATTCACGACTTTTCCATGCTGCAGATCCGGAAGTTGGCGGACAACCTGTGGGATGTCAGGGCCTGAGGAGGGTGGATGAAAAAGTCTCAAAGATTTTCAATTTGGAGTCTTTTGTCCGTTTCGGCGTGATTCCCTTCGTTCTGGAGTAAACTATGCCTGATGCTTTGTCTTCTTGAACATTGGAGGAATGTACGCGTACTCGTATCCTCTAAGACTCTAACATGGATGTCAAACATCTTGAGCACTGTTCCAACTGGTCCGCACTTCGGATCTCATCCTCCCCGTTGAGCTCGAGCGGTGTGGGCGTGGCAGGTGCCCAAGCTTCGAGCCTTGATCCTTCAAGAAGTCCTGGAGGCGGAGTTGAGGCTCCTCCACGTGAACCAGGCAGAGTGAAGTGTGGCACGAGGGAAGTATAGTTTGGTGAAGTGAGAGAGCAGGAATGCTGTGTGTGGTGCGGCTTTCTAGATGCTACTGGTATAGCGTGCATGTGACTTGTGACTTGTGTTTGTTCAGAGTCCAGAATGCATCCGCCGATACCACCAATTAGATCATATTAGATCCAATTAGAGCATCACGAATGAAGCAATCGCTTGACTTGTTCAAGTGTTGGTGAGTTCAGTGATTTCCGTTGATGATTTTGATGGCAGTTGTTTAGGCTGGAAATGCCCGCCACCACGAGGCTCAAGCCACCACAAGGTCGCATTGTGCGTTTCCTGCAGGGGGATTGTGCCTGGGATGATTCTATCCACTCAAGCCGATTGGGCTGCCCATAAGGAGGACACCGATCCACCTGGAGAGCAGAGTGGTGTGAAGGATACGTTTCAAGAGGCCCGTGAGGGAGAAGGAAGAGTAACCAAGGTGAGTTGTCCTTCCAAATCGGACAAGGTTCCTGCTAAGCAGGAAGCCGAGTCCGGGGAGACTCAGACGGACACCGATGAGTGCGCTCAAGTGAAGCCCTTGAAGCTCACACACATCAAGAGTGAAGTCGAGATCCCCCTTGATGAAGCCGACACCGTGGTCATGGAAGCAGCTGAGGAAGCCGTGCTTGAAGTCGACACCAGGGTGATGGAAGGCGAGAAGAAGGGGACAAAATGGATGTGGATCCACGCGTTTGCCAATGAAGCCGTGATTGAAGTGAAGGAATGGGGCTCGAAGCCCAACCACACTCGCAGCTTCCAAAAGAAGGATGAGAATGGGACAATGAACACCTACGAACTTCTATGGGCCAAGGTGGAACCAAAAGATCGAAGCTCGGACTATTGTCCCAAGTGCCACAGCACATGTGATCAGCACCATGAAGATTGTGAATACAAGAAACAAACGGCCTATGGATGGTGCAATCAATTTCCTTGCAGGCATCAAAAGAAAAAGGGACGGCAAAGATGCTCTCGAAGACATTTCGGGTGCAACTATTGCCACCAAGAGAGCACCGGCCATTGCATCGCCAACCATTCAGATGTGGTTTACTACCACTTGAATCTGTGTGACCCAGAATGCCATGGCCAGTTACTGCAGTAAAATGCCAGGGCCAGTGGCCCACACTAGCTTGGCAGCTTCTCCGTGCCAACAGGCGTAAAACAACTGCGTGACTGCGTGTGTGTGTGTGTGTGTGTGTGCTGCTGTTTTGCTGCACATGATCGGCGCATGTGCTCAACTAACGAAGTGCCAGCCCGACGGGCATCAATGGGCAGCGACGATCCCCGGCAGGCGGTGGAGGTGAAAGACGTGGCGAAATCCTTTGAAGAGCTCCTGTCAGCTGTTGGCCCATCAGATGTGTTTGTTTGGCTTGGGCGCCCCAGCTGTTCCATTACGATAGTTTTCTTTCAGATGACGGAGAGTGGATTGGAGTGGTACTGAAAGGGGTCAAATCTTTCAGACTTTGTGTGGAGTTGCTGTTGAAACTATGGCTTTGCACAGACAGTGGGGTTGATAATGCCTGGGAGCACTCAGCGAGAATTGTGGGCATGGAGTGGCATGGAGTTTTGTTTTGTGCTTATGCTTGAAACATCTTGAAACGTTCACGTAGTTTCACGTCCATGATGATGGCTTGAGGATAGCCTGGGCCATTCAAGTAATGATCGATGGCTTAACGAGTGAAACACATTGTACATAGTTCATTTTCCGCTGGTCTTACCATTGATATAGGAGTCGCTAGAATCTTCAAGACTTCAAGATACCACATGACCCTTTCACATGTCTTCAGCGCCTTGAGGTTGCGATATCTAGAATTCGCACAAGAAGTCTTTGGTTCTGCTGGAGTTGGCTGCTAAGGGTGTGACGTGCACGGTCAGAAAATCCGGTCATTATCTTCTAGACGGATTCCTAGGTTGTTTCTCATTTGCAGAACAAACTTCATCCTTCAAGTGTTGTGTGAGGTAAACTGAACATGGACAATTGTGGAACTGCTTTGCAACAAATTCCAAATGATATATATAAATCATAATCCGGTTTTGTTCCATGCAGCTAATCAGCTCATCATCTTATGAAGCCTGAACGGAGCCTGTGGATCTTCGATCGGTCAGATTATTCTTGGCCGTTGTCAGCTGTCCAAAACAGGCGTTGTTTGGCTTTGTCAACCACCAGCGTGAAACTGGTTTGGCGCTTTCTGGATGCCAATATCGTCCCAAGCAAATTGTCCTTGTGCAATGTTTTGTCACACAATCCTCTCTGGGTATTTGCCACTGGCATCATTTACGAAGGGATATCAACTTGCCCAAAAGACATGTTTTTCCCCTGCGCATGAACTTTGCCTTTTCCACTGGCAAGGAACTTCGAGTGGAACATGAGTCCGCAGCTGCCAGGGTCCAGGGTTCCTAGTATTTCCTAGTAATCCTCCCATTTGCATTCATTTTCACTGATGTCAAGGACTACTTGGTTTCACTTGCATCAGGGTCCAGGGTCCAGGGTTTCTAGAATCCTTCTGATGTCAAGGACTTCTTCAAACGTTCTCACTTTTGTCGCACGTTGGCTCGCCCATGGCCATGGCTCCGTCCCCGAGGCCCCAAGCCCATCGGACCTCCACCTGCGTGCGCTGCGCTCGGTGAAGGCCCGTAAGATGCGACCACCAACTGGAGGGCTCACTGGTGGAAGAAAATGTGAGAGCTGAAGACACTTCAACTCAAAATCTGAGCATTTGGGTGGTGGCATGACTTGCTTTCTGGATGTTTGAGTAAGGTCCCCTCACAAGATCTGCCCATGTGCACGTGCGTGGACAGGCAAACATGCTCGTCCAAACACGTTGGACCACCTGTTGGACTGTTGGAGTTGTTACGCGGTGGGTTCAGTCAAAGTACACGTTTGCCAAGCCCTGACTTTCCCAAGTCGGTCACCCCCATTCATACCGCAGCAAGTTCATGATTGAAGCTACATGTGGCTTGAGATGACATACATCATGAGGGCCTGTTCAAGAATAAACATTTCATCCCGGCTGAGATGAACTAGACTCTATGCTGAACAGGTCACTACTACTACTTTAATTGCGGTTTCCACTGTGTTTGCACGAACAACAAACAACACCTGCAATGACAACGAACTTCCTCAAGTTTGTAGCAAGGACGAGAACTTGTCGTGGTGACAGGAAGGAATGTGATTTTCCTAACAAAATTTAACACGCCGATGTCATCGTTTCCCAGCCATCGGCAATGAGAATCATCAGTCTAAGATATTCAAATGCTTTAAATGCAATCACGGGGAACATTGAGTAAAACCAGCCCGAGGAACCTGGATTCCCTTTCGCGGGTTCCCGGCGGTTGGTTCTCCTCTAGGACCAAGACCTCTATCGCGAGAAGGCACAGCAGATCCTGCAAGGCCTGCAGCAAAAATGCTCCGGGGTGACTGAGTGGAGAAGAAGGAAAAGGACCTCACAGAGGATGGTTCCGTTGATTTCCGTGGCAAACTTATCTTTCCTCTTTAGCCTCACTAGCAAGAATTGGTTAAGATTCATTAGAGTTTAGAGCTAGTAGGAACCTCATGTTCCATGTTCCATCGCTTAGTTTCTTGCGGAGCAACATGCTTGCGGCATTTGATCTGAGCTAGGTGGTTCAGCATGTGTAACGACTACTTATGCATGATAAATGAATTAATTCATATTCATGACCAATGGTAGAGAGAGACAGAGAGCTCCGACACTTGGTACTGGGGCAGGTACGTAGATAACTTAACCCATCATGGGCCACTTACGGCTTGTTCTGATTCACCATCTCATGGGCATCCCATCTCCAGGACTCGATCTCTGAGTGCACGGAGCTGGCAGAACACGTGCCGCGCTCTGATGCGAGCCTCATGAGCTGCAAAGAAGAGCGAGCTGCCGAGCTGCCGAGCTCGTTTTGGGGCGCTGCGCACTTTGGAACTCGGTTTCACCAAGGGATCTCCCAAACCTTGGTAGAAAGGAACTCAAACAGATCGAGTGGATATCGAGTGGGAGGATAACCCAAGAGCAACACTATGACCGGTGAATCAGAGCGACCGCATGGGACCGCACTTGAGACCGGAATGCTGTTGCGACAATCCGAACAAAAAAAGGCAGGGAGTACAAGATTTGTAGCTTCATTCTGGACTGTGATGGTGTAGAATTGTCACTCCTTTTTGCTCAGTTACATGCCTCTAATGCTTGACATGACGGACTTCTTTGGGATGATGATGTGCGAGGATCATGTATGACATGTCACAAACAGTTCTCATTCGTTCGTCCTCCCCTTCAAATTGTCAGACTCATGACCAACACTGCAAGGATCAGAAGGTGCCAAACAACTGCTGAATTCTTGATTGTTTTGGAACCCTCTTTGTTGTGAGCGGCAAGTGTGGGAGAAAGATATTATTTTTCATCGACTGATTGGACACACTTTGACCTGCCCTGAAAGTGTTTTTTTCTTTGCCTGTTTAGTTTAACTTAATTGTGTGTTTTGACGAGTTCTACCCATGAAATATGGGGGGCTACTTGCAGCAAGTCTGCAGAAATGCAGGAGAAGACTGAAGATAAAGCTGAAGGGTGTGAATCGCCAAGCCCAAGCAAACCGGAAGAGAAAGAGGAAAAAGAAGAGAGAGAAGAGAAGGACGCTTGCATTATTTGAATGAGTCACGTTGGATTTGTTGGGGTTTGACAGGGCAACTAGAGAAGAAAAGATGGGAAGTGCTTTCCTTCGACAACATGTAATTATCATTCCTCATAACTGCTGTTTGAGTACTCTTTGCTAATGTGGTGGCATCGCTCTTAAAAAGAAATCCGCCGGCACTGGAGACCTTGCCGTTTAGATGTCTTGGTATGTTCGGCTGTGTAAATATTTTTTGATCTGTGCCATCAAGTTTCTTCGTATCCAGGACAAGACCGACGGTGCCGAAGCATCTGAATCGCCAAGCGCAAGCAAGCCTGAAGAGAAGGAAGCTTGGCGATGAACTGTATGACTTGTTCTTTTGGTAAATGAGGGTGATGGCATGAGGAGGAGTATGAGAGCCTTGATTGATCCCTGGAATCAAATGTGTCGTTCAGTGGTTATATACTTATATACCCCAGATTACCCCTCATGCTGCTTTGCATTTTCATGCAAGAGTTCAGAGATCCAGGAGCAGGGGACTGAAGACAAAGCCGAAGGGCCTGAATCACCCAGCCCTAGCAAGCCGGAAGAGAAGGACACTGTTCTGCCTGACCGTAGGAGACTTTCATCTTAGTGGTGATTAGTGGTGACTGGACGTAACGAGGTAATTTGGAACTGCAAACGATTGCAACATAACCAGTTTTGAGAATGAATGTGCATAAGCTGACAGCTCGGATTGATCCTGGCCAAAAAGGGTGTGCTTTTTCTTGTGAGGTGTTTGCTTCAGTTGCTTCTTTGTGTTTTACTCACACCATTTACGGAATTGTCCCCGCTATCCAGGAGGAGAAGACCCAAGACGGAGTTGAAGGGCCAGAATCACCAAGCCCAAGCAAGTCAGAGGAGAATGACCTTGCACGATTGACTGTACTAGACTCTACTTTCCTACTCTCTCAGTAGAGCAGAGATAGTGCAAGCAGAATCTTTTTAAAGGGACTGACAATTATACATATAACGCATTACAACTATTGTCCGTCCAATTAAGATTCATTTAGCATAACTGACCCTTCAATAGCCTTCAATGACAGGTGTAGCTTGTGGCCGGCTGTGTGTGTTTGCTTGTGAGTGTTCCTTTGCATTCATGTCCCAATCTTAGCAGTCAGGGAAAGACTGAAGACAAAGGGGCCGAATCGCCAAACCCAAGCAAGCCACAAGAGGAGGACACTTGCACGCCTAAGTGTGCTACATGCTATTTTGATGCGTCTTGATACCAGATCCCGGCACTTGTGGCAACATGGCAACGTGTCAAGGGTGAAGCACATGTATCGTACTAATCATAGTTTGCTCGTGGAATGAACAGTTTACTTGTGCCGTGAGTTTGTTTGTGAGCTGCCGCATTTTGATCTCCAGGAAAAGACGGAAGAGAACGGCGAAGGGTCCGAATCACCAATCGCAAGCAAGCCGCAAGAGAAGGAAGCTTGCATGTCTTAGAGTGGATTCTATTTTCCGGGTTGAGCAGGGCAACTGATGGGTTCGAACTGTTGTTTCATCTTGACAGTTCCCAGATTGTTTGTATCTCATCAACATGGAGAGGTCTGTAAAGTCAATGAGTCAATATCACGGAATGTTGAAGACTTGTTTTGGAACACCTTCATCAAAGCTTAAGCAGAAAGTTCTACATGTTCCAACGCTCCCATGATTTCCGTGTGTTGGACAACTTGCCGATAGACTTTTTGTAATTTTCCTATATCTTTCTAACTCTTAGTCGTAGTCGTAGTCTGATTCAGATCAGCATTTGCTGCAGCGGGCTCTTATAAGATCAAACATCGGCTAAGCGCCAAGGTAGTTGAGTTAGCACAAGGAAAGCATCATCGAAGTGAGTTTCAGGGAGTTTCGTGGAACGCTTTCCTCTCAAGTCGCTTTGCTTTGCTTCGCGTTGCTTCGCATAGCCTTCTCTCAGAGACTGGCAGAGATGGTACCGATAGGAAGCCTCTTTGGTCACACCGGAGCAGCCAGGACGGCGTTTTTTTCACAGTGAAACTCTTTGGACGGGTTCAATGACTGGAATGACTGGAAACCAGGGAGTGAAGGGGTCTAGGCACAGCAGCCCGCCTTTTGGGGGTAAAGGCATGCCAACTCTTCCGCCAAGGAAGTTGAGAAGTCAGACGTGGCCCCATCTCCCACCGATACTTGGCGCAGGGAATCGGTCGATTTCTTCCTTTTCGGAGCCAAAGATCGGAAGAGGTCTAAACAACCACAGCAACCCACGGATGTTTGATGTGTTTTGATGTGGTTCTTGATGTTTTAAGTACTTCTCGACAATTCCAGAGATGGTTGAGGAACAGCACTTTGGTTGCTACATTTGGCACGGTGAGCAGGAAGGGGGCACGCAAGTGAAGTCAAGTCTCCTTGTTCTACACAGGCCATATATATATATATTATATAACCAAAAGGTTTTTGAGTTGTTTGTTGCCAGTTTCTCTCCCTACCCAACTCTTTGCCACAGTCCAAAGGATTGGATGTGGGCTGTTTGTGTGTCAGTTTACCCAAACATGTGTTTCCCAGATCATAAAGAAATAATCTTCGCATCATTGAACAACTTTGGACACTCACCTCCAAAACTACATGTAAACATGATGTAAATAGGTCTACAGTACACGGTCTACATGTTCTTTCAGCGGGTCGACACCGTGTGCTCTCCGGGCTCAGGCCAAAACTGTGAGCGAAACGGACAAGGCAGAACGCCTGGCGTGCGAACTCAACGGATTGATTTGAAGCCACAAAGGGAAGTTGGAACAACTTATTGAGTGTGAACTCACTCAACTTTGTAGTATAAGGATCACTGCAGGTCACGCTTGAGGCTGCTGCTCAAGTAGACACAGTTTGGTCAAATCTTGGGCAAGTACATTTAATGCTGCAAATCGTTTGCAACCGGCATGTTCCTGTCATGTTGCTTCAAGTTAAACAATTGTCCGTTGACTTTGCATGAATTCGTCCCACCATCACTCTAAGTGTGCTGTCCTTGCTGCAAGCCACAACCGCACAGAGCTGGATAGTTGATTTGAGTCAAGGAAGTACCCTAGGATACCCTAGGTGTTCGAAGCTTCAACACCACTGTCTCCTTCACTTCTTAGTCAGAGTCGTGCAGGAGACGACTGCGGAGCCAAAGAAGGAACACGAACATCATTTGGAACACGAAGATGGAGAGCTCCACGAATTTAACGAGACGGCGCATCTAGTGGAGCTGGAAGCCGAAGAGGAAGAGGAACATGTGCACGAAGAGGACCTCAAGCTGCGCAATAATTATCGAAAAAAAGTGAAAGGTGATTATAATTGATTTTAGTTTATATGCTATAGATTAGCGGCTATAAGTGCGATTAAGTTAGGCATGTCTTTCCCAGAAGTGTTCACCGCAAGTGTCTTTCTCACTTTTTGTCACGTCTCTGTGGCGCGACCTGCCTAAAGTTTTGGTCGAGCACAGCTACCAGACGCCGGCTTAGACACTGACCATAATTGACCAAATGTGTTGTTATTTCACCTAGCCGTATTTGCAGGAAAAGGAAGAGGAGCCCCAGAAAGAGGAGGCGTGCGTGGTTGGAGTTTGATGGATGGCTGCGTCCGACAGTCCGACAACTGACTGTGGGTTCATCGGGGTTCATGTGGGATTGTACGGCGAATCGATCTTTTCTTTTCATGTCAGTGTTCGGATGTGTTTCTTGATAGGTGCTTTGCCTGGGAGGCCAAACCAAAAAATCAATCAATCAGACTGACTTCTTGTGGAACTCCGTGAGAACTCCACTTGCGCGAGGCACCCACGCACCTGGATCATCCTATAGTGATCATCCTGCATCGAGTCTCACCGTGTCTCACCCACTGGTCTCCTCCCCGGTGCCATCCGAGATACTGTCCAGGAACTTGGGCCTCCCATTAACATTTACAAGCCGGTCACGCCCTACGAGGCGCCCCATGACATGTCTTTCCTTTTTTTTTGCGAGAGGATGCGAGACGGGAAGAGAGACTTCGGGTACGAGAGACAGCAGCTGAAAGCTAGAAAAACACAAAAACACACGTGGGGTATCCTGGGGTGTTTGGTTCAGTGGCTGGCTTTATACAGTAAGAGTGGAGTCCAAATGACTCCGTTTCTGAGAAAAAGGTCATTCCATGAAGATCCAGGAATCGGAGGGTGTTGGACTTCACACGACCCGAAACTCAACAGTAAGGACCCGCGGAGGGCAGGGGCTCGCGGCGAATTCTTCGGGTTGATGTCATTAATGTGGATGATCATGTGTTGAATTCTGGACGAATGATGGGTGGCAGATGCAACAACTGATCCACATGGCACAAGTTATTACAGCCCTGGAGTGTCCAATTCTCCTAACTTCACCTATGTTCACCTCGCAGATGATCGCAATCACTAGACGGTGTGGAACGGATCGAAGGATGATCAAACTATTCCAAGGTTGCGCGTTTCGGTCCAACGGCGTTGTTTTTGCCAGACCGGTGAAGTGTGTACCCTTTTGATGCCATTGGAGCCATACCCAGAGGGTTTGGACATGTTTGGACCGATTCCTGGCTGATTGGCTCGCGAGGTCAACTGGGAGATTCTTGACACTCCTGAACCGCAGTCAGGAGCTGGAGGCACGTGGTTTGGGAAGCGGACTTAAGGCTCTAGGCGTTGGCATGTTTTTGAATGTTTTTGATGCTTCACTACTAGTTAAACAATGTTAAACACATATACAAGTACATATGGAGTAGTTTCAGGGTAGATGGCACAAAACCCAAGATAAACCACCCTTTGCAGATTGTGCCATCTACTCTCAACCCACTATGTACGTAAGAAAACTCCAGGATATAAGGTTCTCTTAGGAGTGTTAGCCTGAAAGTCATTCTACTTTTGGTTGCATGTGCCATGTGAATCCATGTGGCATATACTTGGATCATCTATTTACGCTTTGTAGACATGTCCCAAAAGCTAGACGAAATACACACCCGGCAGTACACCCGGCTGTACTTGGCTGCATTTCGACTCGACTCCGAAAAAGATGAAGCCGAGAACAGCGATCGTGTCTCAGGGCTTGTTCCCAGCAGTGTTAGAAGTGAGAGGCTTATTCTTCCTGTTCTCGATGTTCGCGATAGATCGTGGTCCGCATCCGCATGATGAACCGAGCCACTTTCACCATCATCATAGGTCACCATAGGATGGCCACACATGGCCCAAGCATCAAGAAACATCCACTCTCCAAACGAAGCTCATCGCCGGAAAACGTCGAAGGTGCTCCGAAGCGCGCGGGGAAGGTGACGAAAACCAAGGCCATGGAACACGTGGAGTCTTCGAGGGGCTCACCGGCTGACGTAATTTCTGCCCAGCTTATTGGGGCTGCTGACGGATTTGTTTGCTCACAAGTTTTCCATATTAAAATGTTGTTCAGTAAGGCATGAGACAGAGGGGTGATTTGATCCCAGCAAATAAGGAGTTCAGGGTGACTAAGAAGTAGTGTTTATGTTGGAGGCCATCGCTAGTAGGTTGGAGCGCTACTTTACTTTTCCATTTGCACTAAGAAGTAGTCTTTGATTTTTTGTTATTTTTCACTTCTTTGGAGTGATCGTTGTAACATCCACGGGAGTATTGGCCAGTGCTGAATCAGGTGATCAAGGGCCGCTGCCAGTGGCGGAACCCGGTGGGGCTCGTGCACCCAGAGCGCTTGGCCGGAGAGATCTATCAGGTGTTGGTGTATGGAGACCAGGTTCGCAAGAACCAACACCAAAACCGTTTAATCCAGTTCGAAGTCGAGCTCATCCCTGGTGTTTGACTACAAAGAGGCCAAACCAATCCTGATATGGCGCCAGTCTTTTTGGGTAGTCACTACACTGAACGAAAGCTATTTGCGGAAACCACCAAATAATATAAAACGGAATATCAAGTGAATATTTGTGTGAGGGCTCATCAGCCTTTGTTTTAGCTGCCGGCGCTGTTAGCCCCAACGGCAAGAATGCAATTTGTATGCGTTCTTCATACAACTTCCCTATTAGGTGGGTCTTTGACATCGTGTCGTTAACAGCGATGGGCTAATTTGTATCATTGTATGTCATTGTTTTCTTTTCGGAATGTGTTCTTTGCTTGAAGTTTTGTCGGCTCGAGTCTATGTCATGCGTCACTTGTCTTTTCCTGCGTGTGTTTCCCTGGTCCTGGTTTTGATTTTACTTTACGGTTGTCACTCTGAGCGAATAGATATGTATGTGTGGAGCTTCTGCTGGCGGCACAACCACCGGGGAATCTCAAGGATTCGCTCGCAAAGTTGGCTGCCCGGCGGAACAAGAAACACTAAGGGCTGGTCTGAGAAAAACATGGTCACGCAGACATCCGAAGCCTGGTTTCGAAACGTGCGTTTATCCTAAGAACACACCTTCAAGCCGCAATTCCACTGGGAAGAAAAAAGACGTACTTTCCACGTAATTACTTCCGAAATCTCTTGACGTCTCACATTTTTGCCCTCTACCACTGCGACATGCCATTCTGAAAGTCGGAATCCACCGGGCCTATAACAGCGCCGGTACCTTGCTTTAGTATAGTATATGCGTATGCTGCTGCTTAATTGATAGAGCTGATTTGGGTACCCATTCCTGCCCCAATGATTCAACCGGTAGATGGAAGAATATTTGGCACTAGAAAAACGTTTGTGTTCTATGCATCATGGCAACCCAGAACAACGTCACAGCACCGAAATAAAGCTACATAATGCTTTAATGTCTACATATTTGCTTTCCCAAAGCCGATCAATAGACTACCTTAAGTTAAGCGTGGTTTGGACGTGCTTTAGTGATGTTGTATTTCATATGTATATATATATATATGTCCAGTTTCAAAAAATTGTTGCAAGTGGTCTAGTATAATGTCTTTTGACATCAGATCCAATTGGTGTTAAATGTTTTGTTAACTTTATGCTGACTTCTTGCATTTCATTTTCCGTTCACCACTTCCCAACTCCCATTCCCACAGTCCCAAAGTCAAAGATAATTCTTCTGATTCCCTGTCATTTTCCTGTCACCAATTTCTAACCCTCCACATTGTTCCCAATGAGTTTTAACCCCTGGCCGATAGGGGGGTTACTACACAGAGACGGGCCTTTTCCATTCGGATCGAGCTGATGAAAGGAATTGTTCGCACGGATTCGTGTATATATATGTCAATGTATATATAGTAAAATCCAGTTGTGTGTGTTGAAGACTTGATCACGTGCCATTCCTGACCGAAATCTAACAACACCTTGCAGCTACACCCAACCCAGTGACACCAACAAAATCGCCAATGGCATCAAGGTTTATGTGCTCCACCGACATCAGCGAGGCGGAGGGCCAGGAGCCTTGGCCCAACGACATGTTTGCGGCCCGGAGGCCCAGAGAGGGCCAGAGAACCACTGACGGAAGGGGGTTGCCTATGCTGAAGCGGAGCAAAACGACGGGTTGTACAAACTACTGTTTCAAAGACAAATGCTCTGTTTGGAAAAACATAGGAAAAGATTGAAAACCAAACATGTTTGATGTGTTTTTGCAATCTAAAATAATGGAAAGTGCGGAAACATGTCGCTAGCTCATTAATGTATAATTATTAAGTAGTATTTTGTGTGAATTGATGAATTGACTGGACCTGATCAAATTTTCAGGAATACCATATTTTTGCGGCGCACGGCCAAAAAAAAATGGGTTTAAGTTAAGGGTTTGGTTTTAGAATCAAAAAGGAATTCATTTTTCCGGCCAAAAGAACACAATATGGTTTATTGAAGTTTGTTGTTTATTGTTTCTTGTTTTTTGCGTGTTTTTTTGTTCATACATGTTGATAGGTTCTGTTATGTTTCCATATTTGCAAATTTTGTGCTAGTCTTTGTTTTTGTTTTCTTTTTTTGATGTTGGTGTATGCACCTGAATAGGAGCCCAGTGAGTAGGAGCCTAGGGCTTACAAATTGTAAATGTTGATGAGGCTAGATCTCCCTTGGGCTTACACAAATTTGGATGCACCATGTGGACACTTTGTTGATCTTCGTTGTTTCACATTCTCAAGCAAATCATCCTAAGAATGGGCGCAATGATTTGCAGAGCTTTACTGTTTGTTGTGCACTTTGCACGTTTCGAAGAGTGGGAAAATTGTATACATAGTTGATTATAATTGTGTATATATCGAACAACAATACCTGGATATTTTTTGAGCAGCCTCCAACAACTCATAGCTAGGGAACCATTATCCAATTCTGGGAGCGAGCGACCATTGCTCCCTCAATGGTCACTGAAGGTGCAGGATGAAATCGGTCGAGGCCGCGCCAGCTGTTTGAGGTTTACACCACCACCCAAGGCGGCGACAGCAAGGCCTGGCCCATCCTTACTGTAGGGATCGACTCACTTGGTTACTATGCAGCAGATGGTTTATTGGCGGTTTTGTGTGCTGAAAAAAGTTTCCTAATGTTTGTACCCATGCAAAGGAATTGAGCTTGGTTCAACAATCTGAGATGATTTGCAGGGTCAGCATACTTGGTGAAGGCTTTTCTTGCGGTGATACCAGTTGAGACAAGCTATTAGTAACAAGAAGCTACTAGGAACAAGTGCCTCGCTTCTAGGAACAAGTGCCTTACTAGTAGTAACAAGAAGCTAGTAGAAACAATAAGATCTCAAAATCTCTCCACGCAGGATATGTCTTGGGTCGAGGGCGTCACGCTCTTGAGCTCCGAGGAGCATAACCTCATTGCCGCTGTGCTGCAAGGGCGGTGCGAATTTGATGTGCTCAAACGGTTCCGGGCATGCAATTCTTTGGCTTCATTGGGCCTGTACATATCGGGATGCAAAAGTTACAGTATCCCGGTATCCCAATACTATGTGATTGCATTGTGTATACATGTTCATTTGTGATTGCTTTGTTTGGGTGAACTGAGTTCGTAATTCTATTTGTGCGTTTTGGCCTACTGTAGTTCCATTATCATGACCCAATTGCCCCTATTGTCTCCACTCAGTGTTGTATGGCAGCATGAGCTAAATAACTCAAACTTACACAAGTAAGACACCAAATTATTATCACACGGGCCGGTGGTGATGAGCAGGTTTTTGTGGTTGGCGCAATCAGCCATCCACAGAAACAGATGGGGTGCGTCTACATTGCTTATTCAACCATACGGGCCATCGCCTGTGACTCGTTCTTCCTTCCGTAGCAGTCACTGTCGCCCATGCATAGACTTTCTTGGCAGTTTTCTTCACCGATATAATATACTGTCATGGTCTTCCAGTGGGAATTCGGATCTTTCGCGGAGTTGCACGGTTCTACTTTGAGTTTTAGTTAAATACTAGAAGATGTGAATCATATCATAGAAAATATTTGATTTTATTTGGGATTTTGCTAGGGAATGACCACAAGCCTAAATACTTGGCGTGCTTGGGCAACCACGCTGAGATGTTCCCAAGAAGTCAAGGCCTTTGTGCTGCTGATGGCCTTCCTCCGGGATCACCAGGAGATCGCACATGACAGGGTGACTTGGAGCACGGAAATCCCATGAAATCCCCAAACCAGGGCAGGTTGACCTCCTTCGTAGTCCGTTCTGTTCACTTTCTTTGGTCAACCAAGGTACCCCAGTCTTGACCCACAGCTGTGTTTGTTGTTTTGTTGTTTAATCAGACTTGGATGCTGCAATCAGCAGAGCCGGAGGATAAAGTACTCGTTTGCAAGGATGACCAAACAGACAGGCAGATGTGAGTCAGCCAGCCAAGCGAAATACCACTCAGGAGAAATGGATCTGCCGAAGGATGGAGAGACGATCAATTTATAATGCTTGTCATTTGTGGTTCTGGACGGGGGGTTCTCCGGGGACTTCAGCATCATCGGGGACATCGGGGACTTCTGCATCACAACATTGTCATCGATCACAACATTGTCATCGATCACAGCATTGTCATGACCACCACATTGTCATTGATTAGTCATGTGATTAAAATGGGGTGGGGGGGTGGGGTTAGGGGGTTGAGGAGTAAGTTCCCCAAAGTGGCAGTGAGGTACACTGGACCTGATCGATAACACCAAGTAAGACCCAATAGACTTGATAGCAGAGTGTGGAAGTGTGCGAACGGCAGAGAGTACGTCCTCCGGGTGAAAACAACACAAGCAAACGTCAGACGAGTCGAAAACGCGGAGCCTGCCTGTGTTTCTGATAAAGTGCGTTTGCTTTGATGCATTGAAAACGTGTTAAGACAAACGGTTTCTTTTCGAAAAAATCCGTGCGAAGAAGTCGAATATGAACAGAGTAATGCCAGATTTGGACAAGGTGTTTTTTCATCTCCCCAGGCAAGGTGTGGTTTCATGGTTTTTGCATCTGAAAAAACCATCAAAAATACTGCTGGCACCAGTGAAAAATGGATGTGGTGCTTTTTACAGTGTAAGTCACAGTACATTTGCACGGCCAACAGAAAAGCTATGTCTGATAGTCAGCCCTTCTTTTGTCTGATCACTTGGATTTCATTTTGTACTTTTGCAGCCGTAAGCTTCGACACTTGCGTCTGTTTGTAATTTGTAGGGTCCTAGGTCCCCTAGGCGTGTCTACGCTATACGTGTGTAGCACCTGTTGTTCATAGTTACTTGTACATATACTCTTCAGTCAGCTTAACAGCAAAAAAATTCATGTGTTGCTATTGGCTCAAGACCACTAGAGCCCGCACTTGCACCGCTCGCCATAGAAAACTCCCCGTTTGCAGCCTCATTTGTTGTTGGTCATTTGCGGTGTGTCACAAGCGCAGGTGATATAGTGCAGGACATCCAAGTATTTGAGTTGCTAGCGTAACTCATTGCTGCTGTTGTTTTTTGTTGAAAAGCGCAGGTTTCAAGTAGAAACTGAGCCTTTTAATGGGAGGATTCTGTCAGAGAGCTACACGAAGTCACAGCAGTTTTCCGTGACGGTGAGGACTTCTATGTTGACGTGGATCTCATGGATGGCCGAATCCATTCACTGAAACTTGGTGAAAGAGTGAAAAAATGTCAAAGAGGATGGAACAGGATCAGACAATGCAACTACAAAAGACCTGGGTGGGTCTTGATCGGGCGAAGATCGAGAGCTTGGAAGTCATCGAGCGGGCTCTTGGGGATGATGATCGGTCGACGGTGCGAACAAATGGTAGCATTGAGGTCTTAAGCGACCTAAATGCACAGGCCGCACGTTTTTGTGGTGGTGGAAGTTTGTTTCGTGTCTACAAGGGACCCCCTTTGGTTTGGTGTCATGATGTTTCATGGCATTTCGCAAGGCCCGGTTCGGAACAGTTCCGGAACGGTTTCAAGTGGAGAAGGGCCTCCTTTTTCATCAGTCGCGTGGGGGGATCGCCTCAGGAAAGGGCCAGGCGGCATGGAGTGTCTTGGCTACAGGGATCGCTGAAGCCGCCTTTTCGGAGGGAACACTGTCCAGGACATGCAATTCTTCTCATGATTTGATACTTGGATTGATTTGTTTTGATGATATATACTCTGTAATTTATCATGTATATATACGTATATATACAGTATATATTGCCCTTGGGGCCCTTGCCTTTTGTCATGATTTGTGATGCTCTATTGGTGGTATGTTCTAGTCTGGTGAGGTGGGCTCTAGAGAAAGTGGTATGCGTCGAGTCGAGATGATTTGTGTACTCTCGGCAGGCATTGGATACAAACACACCAATTTTACTCGGAAGTGGGGTTGTAAGAAGCTTCAACGCTGTTGCACGGCCCTGTTTCTATTCTGTTGCTATGCTGAGTGTTTTCCCACTTTGTTAAATAAGTAAACCAGACAAAGATTCCGCCCCAATCACAAACAAGTGCTTGGGAAACAAACCTCGCTCTGCCACTGGTTTGTAGACAGAGGAAATAGTCTTCAAAGATCTTCAACGTACATACTTTGGGTGCTGCTTTGTTTCTCAGTGTGCACAGTGTAGCGCGGAAAGAGATTGGCTTTCAGATCACCTTTGTTGCAGCGCCACCTCGACATTCGGTTGTGGTCGTTCATGCCATGGCAAACCCAGGTTGATCCCGAGCGAGGATCAGGTTCTTTTGTGTGAGGCTGGAGCCTGGGGGTGTGCGATGCGATTCACACGCACTTGCAACAACTCTAACTATATATATATATATTGGGTGCTCCCCCACCCCAGAGTCCAACAAAAAATCTTATTCAATTGTCCATGATTTCCAGCGTATTCAAAGTGATCCTGAAAGGTGTGCATGTTCTTTACTCAACAAGATTGGAGAACCCGTCAAGCGGCCTTTGTCAGACCAAAAAGATAATTCTTTTGAGTTGGAACCTTACACAATCAGTCCCCTTCAGAACCCCAAAGTCCGCCTTGGATTTGTATTTGGCTACATCCAGTGAGAGCGCACAGTGTTTCTTGCCGGTGCATAGTAAGAGAGCTTGCGACGGCGGTCACTAAAAGACGCTAGTCACTAGTCACAGTTTGTCCCCAAAACTGCAAGATTAGGTCACTGATGATCATTGTGCATTCTGGTCGTTGCAAGCCCAAGATCAAACGAAGATCTGTAGAGCTTGTGGATGTGAGGATGCATTTCCGTTCTATGAAATTGATTCGGCCTTTGGGGAGGAGAATGCTAGAGATAGTGGATTTCTTGAAATGCCTTCACGGTCCGCGGAGTCCACGGACATGTTTTCCGAGGATTTCGAGGTGATCAACGACCTGCGCAAGGCGCTCTCAGAGGCCAGGGCCGCCGAATCGGATGGCCAGGGCATTCCTGCAAAGCAATGCTGGGCGGGGATTAAACGTGGAGAGATTGGATTTGTCCTTGTTGGATTAATTGGAATGAAATTGCACAGATTGGAAGAGAAACTTTGTCTCTTCTGGAGTGTCTTCACAAAGCACGATTCTTGGGAGTGTAAGGTAGTGAGTACCACAAGTGGCATTTGGCATCTCAAAAATTGCAAGTGATTCTATGGTCATGTTTGGTGGTCAGCCAAGCCACAGGAAATCAGAGGAGCATGCGAACTTAATTGACGTATGCGTAGAATTGTGTGCAGTTGAAGTTGATGGCTCAAGAGCTGATGATTAGCGGACGGCAACTGTTTGGGGAAAGCCAAACTTGCTGGCATGATGACTCGACTCTACACATCATGTAGCCTTTCCAGAACATTGGGTGGTTAGCTTGGAAGGGACCAAACCAAGAGATTCACGGCCTCAGCTCCCTTCCAACCTATAGTTGGTGCCCAAAGAACACTGTAGGTTGTAAGTTCATGCTTGGTGTCTATGTGGTGGTTGTTATCCACTCAGACCAACAGTCAGGTGGAGTACAGTATTTGCCTTCATGCAACGTCAATATATATAGATTCATGATAGATTCATGTTTCTCCGCCTGTATGTATGCGACCTTCAATTCTGCAATCATCTCAGGTAGTGGTTAATTCAGATTGCTCATCTACTGTCATCATGTTCGATCCAGACTCCACACAACTGGTTTTGCTGACTCGGAGGCGGCGTTCAGCCGTTCCGTGCAGGCGTTCTACAGCAAGGCTCCTCCCAAAATTACCACCGTCCAGGAGGAGGCAGGATACGTCCAATGGAGGTTTCGGATCGGTCCGGCGGGCAATTTCGAGATCGATGTATCAACCTGAAACCCTAGTAGCTTGGCGATGCCCGAAATGCTCCGTTCGTAGCGTCCTCTTGTTCCTAGTAAGGCCAGGAGCCCCGTTCGTAGCATCCGATCGCTCCTAGTATCCCGTAGCCAGCTCTACGAGTCAGATATTGATGCAGAGTTGTGACATGAGCATACATGGGCCAAGAGTGGCGTGGACAACTCGCTAGCCGCTAGATCAATCAAGAGGATGGACCGTTTGGCGACATAGCTTCGTCAAACACGTTGCTTACTTGGTGTTTTAGTTGAAGTTCATAAGACACCGTATGGAAAGCATTTGCCTCCTCATGTGTTTGACATTTTGTTTGCTTTGGTCAGAAGATGTCCAAGCCCTGCTGGCCTTATTCCTAGAAGATATACGGTACATGGAACCACAAGTGATCCTGAAGAAAGCCTCTCTACAGTCAGATGTGAGCAGATCCTCGTCATTCAAGGTGCACACATGTTATGTTTGTTTACAATGAATGGGGTCAACACGTATATTGATTTATTTCGCACTTGCTGAAATAGAGCAGGAAGTTCCGAAAGAGGTGTTGCTGGGAGTCGTCCCAATTCACCTACGGAATTGGTTGTCTCAGCAGGAGCAATTCGCACTATTTCCCTGTGCCTTTGTCGTGGGAATAGGTGTGTTTTCTTGTTGGCTTGCAACCACACATGGTGCAAATCAGACAAATTGTCCTCATTAAAGGTGCTGCTCTTCATTGTCAGGGCCCCCACTAAATGACAGGTAGTTGACCCCCATAAGATTCCTTAAGATTCTGAACATTATAGAACCAGTTTTTTAATTGCCATATCAATTTTCCATCTTCTTCATGACAGGTTCTTTGCATTCGGTGGTTTAACCAGGTGCTTTTGTAGACCATTTGGCCAAACCGGACGTGACAGGATGGCATCGACTTCTCCGGGACGCGAGGCGCAGAGAATCGGTCTGGCAGCAACAAAGGTACAAGACCTGTACGATACTGAAGTTGTAGACATGTGTAGACTGTAGATTAGATGTGCAAAGCGCAAAGCGACACAGCGAGATTAATGGTTTCATCTGGTTCACAAACGAAGACACGACGTACAAGTGTATTTGGACTCACGAGGTCTGCCGCTTTGTATCCAGGCAAGCGCGACGACGAGCCAGTACCGCAGGTGCAAGCAGAGTCATGGAGCCCAAGATGGGAGAGTTTGGTTTTATGTGTTGATGCCGAAACACTGACCTACTAGACTAGGAACAAGGACGCTACTAGGGGCTCCTGGCCTTACTACTAGGAACAAGAACGCTACTAGGAACAAAGGGCATCGCTACTAGGAGCAA